GAGGGATTGCTGAAGAGTCAATAAGTCGATGCAATCAGCTGGTTTTCCTTAGATAGAAAACTTTGAATCAATCTGACTGGATGATCTGGTTTAAGTGGATCTATAAAGTGACCTGAGATGACATGATGTGAATTGGAGCTATAGAAATAAACTGAATAGAATTTAACTGACTTATAATTTTAAGATGCAGATTACAATGAAATGTTTGGATTATTGTTGGTTTAAACTGAAATGTTCTGAAACTGATCATAGATACGATCAAATTTAAAGCAGCTGATTGATACGTTATTTAAATATGCCGTTAATTATCAGAATCATTTTAAGGTAAAATAGTTTCTCATAGATTTCCGTTCTATAATCATAACCTGTTGTTAGATATTCTCAATAGTTTCAGACAAGCTGCTCCAAACATGATGTTTGAAAATGTTTCTAGTATTTTTCACTAAAGTACCTTTGTTGAAGTGATTTCAGCTTTTCCTTCTCTTGCTGGAGATTAAAGCTGCAAAGCAAAAATACAAACCGGCATTAGCTCAGGATACCTAAACAAAATAAAAGCCGTCCTTCTGCACAGGTGGGTCAGGTTAGGGCTGATGGCTGCTTTTAATCTGAAGGACCATGAGGAAGAAATTGGATTTCAGCAAAAAATCCTGCAGTGTGAATGTAATCCAGGTTTGATTAGAGGGCGGGGTTTAGTGGTAATAGGTCGGGGCTTCATAGTTAGTGGGCGGGGTTTAGTGGTCAGATAGTGCTGATGATGATTCCCAGTCATCCAGGTCATAGTCATTCAGTAAAAGTTTAAAAACATCCACTGGACTTGGTTTCTACAGTTTGAAGACGTTTCACTTCCCCTCCAGGAAGCTTTCTCAATTTAAATGTCTGGATCCGCAGTGAATTCGAGTCTTTATATAAACAAAGCCTGGTATTGCTTGGAAACATGCAAATGGTAACCGATGAACGGGTCGTTTGGCTCCATTGTTAGCCTGAAATATCTGAAACCAAGTCCAGTGGATTGTTTTTAAACTTTTACGGAATGGTCAGATAATGAGACTTCACATAAATGGGCGGGGCTTAAATGTAAGAGGGCGGGGCTTGATGGTTAGGGTTTGGGTTTAGCAGTTAGAGGGGGGGGTGAGCTAAACAGAAACCTATGAGAGTAACTTTGATCCTTTTTAAAGCCCGTAGTTTAAAAGCAGAGGATGAAATCAACTATTGAAGCATCAAATAAAGGTGATTATTCTTAAATTCAACCTCAAAGCTGAAAATGGACGAATGCTTACATGAAATCTTCATGTTGACTCTGATGAAAACTGAAAATCTGTTGGAATCTAATGGAAAAGGTTAACGTTGATTTGACAAATAAAATCCAGTAAAGTGTATTTCTGACACAGTGGACATCAGGACTTAAAGGACACGTATTCACAGCAGATCTGCTGCTTTTTGAAATATAATTCAGTGACTAGATAAGAAAAACAAACATGAAACCTTAAACATGTAAAGCTGCTTATACTTTACCTTCGATTTAGCATGTTAAACTTTTCCTCTGCAGGTCCCAAATCGGGGCTGTGGGTTAGAAACTAAAGATTAATGAAGTTAATCAAGACTCATAAATGGATCAAACTCTGGGCTCAGCAGGAAATGATGAAGCAGCGTCCTGCTGAACCTTTACCTGTCCTACAGCCAATAATATGAGGCAGGGTCAAAATACTTAGGGCTGCTTTAAGAGTGTCAGGTTAGCTGAGCCTTAAAAAGTCCATAATGTTCTATAGATACTGCATTTTCCTCTGTGGTTCATCTGTTCTTCCTTCATCCGTTTTTACCAATGATTGTCTCATCAGCTAAACACGACATCAGCATGAAAAAATGCAGTTTCCTAATACGTGGAAACATTAGCAAACATCTATGGCAAACATTCCTCTCTGATAATGTTGCACACTCTGGTTTGGTAATAATGAAATCAGGGTTCAGGTCTACAAACTAACCGATCAGGAGGAGCAGGAAAAAAAAGGAAAGCAGGTCTTTATTTACCTTCTTTTATGCTGCTGGGAATCTTTCAGCTCATTAATTCTAAACAAAACACAGAAGAAAAGTTGCTTTAAACTGTTAATATCAGATCATCCATCTTTAGGAACGATACGCTCATTTTATGGAAAGCGACAGACAAATAGTTCACCTCAATTCATTTTTTTTTTGTCTTACTTATTAGATTAATTTAATCCAAAAAAGGCTAGATAAACAATTGGAAGGTAATAAATTAATTGAAGAAATTAGCAATTTTTGAGAGTTTACTATTTTTTGAATAATTCAGTGGATTGAGAGAAACCTTATATTCTGTGATGCATTAAAATATTATTTTATAATTTACATACTGTTATGATCTTGGCACTGATGACTGGATTATCGGTTTAATTCCTCCACCTGATTAGCTCCGCCCAGTTTTCGTTATCACTCATCAGATCCACCTGTTCCAGTTCCTATTTAACCTGCTTGGTCCCAGCCATCAGTGCCAGATTATATGAGCCTCTGAGGGACCAAACTTAAATAAGGACAAAAGGTGTTCAAAATTTTTACTTTCATTTAATTGTGTCAAAAATGGTTAAAAAAGGCTCCAAAGCAACACAAAATAACTTAAATAATAAATAACATGAATCTGGGCCCAAATTAACTGAGGTCAACTGAGGAACCAACTCAAACAAAAACTGACCTGCAAACAAAGAACTAAAGGCTGCTTAAATAGGGATGGAGTAACCCAAGTCTACCACATGAGGGAGACATAACATAACAAAAGAAACAATAAAAACAAAATGAACTGAACCATTCTATGAAACAAATAAAGCAAAACTAACTTTTACTTAATAATGGGTATTTCAGTGACAAAATTAACTAATTAAAAACAACTTAAACAAGTCTCCCCTGTCAATCAAATGGTACGCTCCAGGTTTCCTCCTCCAGCTGGTTTGCATCAGCAGCACCTCAAACTAAACAAGTGTAAATAAACCATTCAGACGGGTATTAACTAAAGTGTGCACCCATTAGAAAATACCTGTCTAAAAGAAATAACCGACTTAAACATAAACTGTAATATAATATAAAGCAAGAAAAAAATACTAACAGGATGTGGTGGGCGGATCATCCACCACAGAGCCGTAGGTGAGTTCTCTAGCGTACCCCAGTGTGTTTATTCTGATTGCCTGATCCTGACTAGTTTCTCCTCATGGACTTCTGAGCCTCTCTGCTCCTGTTCAGATCTTTTTGCCTGACCTGCCTTCAGACTTCCTTTGGATTCTACCTGCTAACGACCTGTGATCTGTCTCCCAACCCCGCCTCGGATTTCCCTTTGGTACGTCTTCGGATCTTTCATCTAATGGCCTGGACTTCTGATCCTCATCGACTCCGGCTTTAGATTCATTTTCCGGAAACTTCTGCTCTTCCTCGTCTGCTGGCTTTGCTTGCAGCATCTTTGGCTTCAACTCCTGGAACTCTCTGGGCAGCGCCCCCCACATGCAGTGGGAAATCTTCCTGCTGGATACAACTCCTTCCTCTGGGCTTGGACGGAACTTAATAACCAGGTTAGTGACTCACATGCTGACTCTCGTTCCCCGTCAGTTATGTGGTCACTAACCTGAGAAACTTATGTTTTTCTTTGGAGTCAAATTATGCTGCTACTAAATAAAATAGAAATGTTTTTCACCTATTTTATGAAAAAAGTAATTTTACCTTTGATTCAGAAATTCCAGGTCCTCTTGTGTATTTAAAAAATAAGTCCTAAGGAATAAAAGAACAATATGTTTTGGACAGATTCAGGTCAAAGGTCAGACTTTCATTAGCTGTGATGTCAGAGCTGGACCGAACCATTTGCTGACTAAAACAGGCTGATTACAGCACAGACAGAGGAAGAGCTGGACTGGGTGGATGAGCCAGAATAACTCTGATAAAGACGTAGAAACATGGACATGATGCACGATGTTAGATGATGAGGTGTTTACCTCATCTTATCGTATTCCTCCTGCTGAATGGTTTCCAATTCTCCAATCCTTTAAAACAAAACACACATTTTATTTACGAATAACTGAATCTCATAATTATGATTTCAAAAAATGAATCTTTAATTTCAATAATCAAAACTTCAGTTTCAAACATTTGATAATAAAATATCGAACATATTATCAGGTATTATGTTTTATAAACTGATATTCAGCATTTTTAGTGCATTTTAAAGTCATTTTATAGGTGAATTACCTCCGAAGGAGCTCATTGGTTTGCTGCGCTGCATTAAATCTATGAAGACAAAAACGGAGCATCAATAAAAGCTGAAATAATCTAAACTTGACAGATTAAGGAAATAGATTTTTACTTTGACTGTTTCTGTGAAGCAGACATTCTCTGCGATCCTGGAAGGAGAAACAGAAATCATTCAATCAATCAATGAAGCCATGCTGGGGGGTTTTTCCTCAGATCATCTTCTTAAAGTTCTGATACAGTTCCCATATGAATTTAGATGATAGAAGATTTTAATATTTAAATGACTCTTAAATCCATATCCTTAGATCAGTTTGCTCATGCAGCTTACCTGCAGCTGTCTTTCAGTCCTTTCACTTTCCTCTACTCTGTCCTTTTCTATGCAAAGTCAATATGCTGTGTGGAAGCAACTCCTGTCCTAAAATAAATGTCCTCTGACTACTGGGTAAAGGGGCAGAGAGTCTAACTTTAGCTCCATCCACAGATTATAAACATCTCCCCACCATCTGCCTCTCAGTACTTTGTGCAGATCCTGAACTGAACCCCTTCCTACGATGGGAGACTCTTTCATTATAGCTATAGACTTCGGCACTGCATACAGCGGATATGCATTCAGTATAACATCCAGAGGGGAAAAAACGGATCCATATTTGAAGATCTGGGGGGAAGAGGTCGGACTGGCAACCCCAAAGACTCCTACCTGCATCCTGTTTGATGAAAACCAAGAGTTTATCAGCTTTGGTTACGAGGCTAGAGAGGATTATCTTTCAATAAAAGGACAAGAAGCCAGAGACAAGTTATTCTTCGACTGCTTCAAGATGGCCCTCTATGGGAAAGTGAGTACAACTGAACGGATCATCAGAGGCTGAGCGGGTTTTTGTAAAGCAGTTGAAATTATTTACTTCATTGGACCTAAAGGCAGGGAACTAATTTAATTAAACCGTGCTGCTGGTTTGGTTTTTACTTAAATATTAATTACTTTAAAGGCACAGAGTTTAAAACACCAAATACATGTTGTTAGGATAATTATCATTGATGTAAAAAATTAGCCTTTTTGCTCGTTTTCTATTGTAATAAAACTAATAAAAACCAGACACCTCACCTTATGCCTGCTAATCGAAACACCTGCCAGTATACTTTGTCCTAAATAAAAGAAACAATAGAAAAATAAATAAATACATTGATTATCAGTAGCTCTTTTTTTAATTAAATCATCCAGCTATGTTTAATCCCATAACCTATGTTTTGTTAATGATCAGTTTTAAAGTGGACCTTTACACACACAAAATCATTCTTTTTGTCTACTTTAAGTATGTTTAAAAGTCAAATGCAATAATTTCTATGGTCAGAAAGGAGGTTCAGTGACAGAGATGGAGACTATATGACCATATTTGGACGGTCAGAAATAAAAGTAGTAAAATAATATTATCAGAAAACAAGATGTCTGCCCAGCCCGGCTTAGATTAACGCTGCGGGAAACATGTCTATAAGCAACTAACGATTATTTTACAAAGTCGTTAATCTGACGAAAATTTTTTCGAGTAATAATCTGATGTATTATTAAAAAACGATTTTTTACGAAATTAAACCCGGTGAAACTAAAATGTTTCCACTTGAGGAGTTCTTGAGAGTCTTTCCAGGTTATATAAATTATAGATTTAACTTTGTTTTAGTTTCTGTCATGACCTAGAAGCCGATGACTGGCTTGATTGTTCGTTCTATTCACCCGCCCAGCTCTGCCTAGTTTCTCATCACCGTTGGTTTTTGTCACCTGCTCCGGTCTCTATTTATCTTGCCTGCTTCCAGTCATCAGTTCCAGATTATTAAAACCTTTAGTCCGAGTTTTCTAGCGTGCCTGATTGTGTTCTTATTGCCTGATCCTGACCCGCGTTGCCTTTGGACCTCTGAGCCTGCCTGTTCCTGTTCTGATCCGTTTGCCTGACCTGTCTTCGGACTCCTGCTGCATTCTGCCTTTTGCTGACCCTGGATCTGCTTCCTGACACCGACCTGGATTATCCTTCGGTGCCTCTTCTGGCCCGTACTCCTGTGAAAATTCGAATCCGCCTCTGGCTTCGTCTGCTTGGATCTGATCTTTTGGTTCTGCTGCTTCAAGGCTTCAGCCTCTGGGACACTCTGGGCAGCGTTCGGCACGTCGTGTTGGCCGCCGTGCGGCTGGAATCCACCTCTTCCTCCGGACACGGACTGAACTATAAGACTCGGGTAGTTTTAGGGATTACGTCTAGGGGATGTTGGCATAACATCCCCCACATTCCCACATCCCCCAAATTAATTGATTGATTGAGGATTTTCCGTTACTGTTGTGTGTGTAGTTTGAGTTGTTTCTTTCAATTTTGACTATATTGTTTTTTTTATCTCCTATTGTTTTACCTGTATAATGTCCTTGAGTGTTTTGAATAGCGCTTGAAATAAAATCTATTGTTATAAATATTATTAAGTTGAATAAATCTGTTTTCATGTCTTATTTATGCAGCAGTTTTTAAATATAATTCAGTTAAATTCAGTTGAATCGTTGTAGATTACATACATTAAACCCTATTACTACACAGATGATTAACTTTTATGTTTGTACCCATTATTAGAGTATATAAAATCAAAAATATATATATATATATTGGAACTTTTATTTGAAATCTTTGAAGATCAGGCCCTAAAATAAGAATCTCCATTTTTACAGAAAATCAACAGAGACCTGAAGATTGAAGCAGCCAACGGACAGTCAATGAAGGCGCTGCGGGTTTTTGCAGAAGCTCTGAGATTCCTGAAAGTCAACGCTCTGACAACGGTCAACTCAAACGCCAAAGGTAAAACGTTTATCCCTTCTGACTTCACCTGGGTGCTCACTGTTCCTGCCATCTGGGATCCTTCAGCTAAACAGTTCATGAGAGAAGCTGCAATGCAGGTAAAACTAGATTGACTCACATTTATTAATGGATGCAAATGAGGCATCTAGAGTAAGATGTCTATGTTATAAAGCAATGAGCATGGTATCGTTTGTAGGCAGGTATTGTGAAAGAGGGAAATGGAGATAAACTGCTGATTGCTTTGGAGCCTGAAGCAGCTTCAGTCTGGTGTAAGAAGCTTCCAGCTGACGGCTTCATCACACAGAACATCAGCAGGAGATCACTGGACCAGTCTCCAGGAACTCAGTACATTGTTGTCGACTGTGGAGGTTATGTCCTTTGCACTGACTTCAGGAGTAAAGGTTTTTTTTTAGATGCAAACAATTATAAAATTTCTCTTCTTCGCTATCTTCTCCTGCAGGTGGAACCATTGACATCACCGTTCATGAAGTCCTGGAAGGAGGAACCCTGAAGGAGCTGCACAAGGCCTCTGGGAACGATCTGGGAGGACAAACTGTGGACAGGAAGTTTAGGGAGTTCCTAAGACAAATATTCTGTGATGGAGTCTGGGATAAATACGAACAAACCTATCCTGTTGAGGTTCAGAAAATAATGTATGACTTTACCCTTTTCAAAAAAGGGGACAAGGATATGGAAATCACCTGCTCACTAAACCTGGGTAGATTGGCTGCAGCTAAAAAAAGCATTGAGAAGTTCCTGGAAGGAGTGGAAGGTGCTTCCTGGGATGAAGGATCCATCAGAATCTCCAAACAGAAGCTGAGGTCTTTCTTTGCAGAGAGTTTGCAGGGGATCACTCAGAGTCTGGAGCGTATTTTACAGGGC